TAGATTGCGGATATATGATATATATTATTATTGTGTTCATTATGTTCTTCTCCACCATAAACAATTAAGTTCATATATTTAAAGTAACCTACACAAAACAAATAATAAAAACACCCAGGGTAACAGGCAGGTTTTTCATCCTAACGCTGTAATTACTGCTTTTTGCAAGCATAAACAACAGGAGATCGCACCCCCTAAGAATATACCATCGAATGATTCTGAATGGCAAGTACAGGAATCTAAGCGCAGAAGGAACCGCAATGTGATGATGCAATGTAAAACGCACATTTCCAAGTCTCATGAACTCTACAGCTCAATGTAAGTGACCATAAAGCAGGAGCACTTCAAGCAAGCCTGGAGTCGTGAGGAAGGATGACCAAAAGGTGCATTGGTGTCTCGGTTTTTTTGTGAAGCAAAAGATACTCGTTCAACACAAAATATCAAAGCTCAATGAACAAGAGCAAATGTGCATGGGGTAACATAAAGAATGAAGTCAACCTGGAAAAAGGTGCTCCATCTCCCCCAAATCTTTATGAGGAACAATGTTAGGGAGTACATAATATGCAGAGGGATGCTGATGCATTCTATGTTATTTTCTTGACACTGCTCGTGCGAAGGCCAGTAATCTGGGGGCGGGTCTTAGGACAAATTATAACTTTGCAGGTAACTGCACTATGTTTCTTTTCCCTACTAGTTGTACTGAAGTAGAACAGATAATTGTGAGTGTTTCCAAGAAGAACGCAAACGGATGGAATGGGATTCCGTGTTCCTTGTTGGCTCACGCTGCCGGGGAGACTGCACCTGTGATCTCTTTTTTATTAAATCAGTTTTTATCTGGAGGTATGATCTGAAGGAATCTGTTGTGAAGCCTATCCACGCAAAAAAATTGAGAATTACAGATCAATTTCTATATCCTCCCAGGTTTTTCTAATATCTATGAGCGGTCGTTTTTCTCCAGACTTTTGAGGTTCCTGAACAAAAATGGAATTATAAATGGTGCTCATTTAGGATTTAGAGGTGGGCTCTCCATACAGGATGCAAGTCTCAGTGCTGTCAATCGTATTATTGCATGTCTGGATGCTGGGTGGCACGCCTCTGGATTTTTTTTACTATTCACATGCCTTCGATATGGTTAACCGCAAAGTTTTTATGGTAAAGCTTTATGCATATAGAGTTAGGGAACAGCCATGGAGGAGAGGGTTTCGTCTTATTTAGAGCATCGCTCACAGAGAGTTGTCTTGGATATTCATGGACATTCTTATGCTTCTGATCTCAGGGCCTGTGACATGGGCCTGCATAAGGGAGCATCCTAGGCCCACTCCTATTTAATATCTTCGTAAATGTAATTTTTTGAATAAGGGATAGCATGTCAACATTGTAGGTATACTCATGATATGTGTGCTTGTGTTGAACAGTGGAAAGGTTCAGTGCCGATAGTGGCCTTCCTTTAAATACATCAAAGATCGAGATGCTGTCTTTCTCTAAGGATATTAGCTTGTATGTCAAGGCGAGAAATGGTTAAATAGCACAGAGCAACCATACCAAATTTGTTGGTGTGTCTATTGACTCAATTGTCGCTTAACTTGGGGAGCTCACATTGACGTAGTCCTGGAAAATCTTGCTACCAGGATGGGGATTCTAATTGCTCGAAGTCGAAGGATACGACTCGGAAATAACGTTGATGTTGCCTATACGTGACACTCGATTCGTGTCGACTAGTGAAATTGTAATTTGTAATCAGGTAGATGTATGATATGGCAATCGAGAACTAAAGTTGTTTTGTTTTCTTAATATCACGCATACATTGGCTCCTTTCCTATTGGGTAGTTATCTAGGGTTGTGCAATGCACGTCCCTGAGTATTGGTACAATTGCTTTTTAATGGTAGGTACATACATATACTCCTATCGTGAGTTATTCAGGGAATTGAAGGTTTCAACCATAATCTCAATATATGTTTTACAGACTACCATAGATGTTTATAGGAATAGGAGTTTGTTTATGACATCGCGTGAAGTTGATGGTGACTGTTCTCTGTTCTCAGACTGGCGGCGAGCCACAGCTTGCAGCAAGTTTGTTATGCCTATCAAAATATGCAGTCGTCTGATGCCTGAACGCTTGAGAATTCTGATCAATTTGAATAAATTTAGGAGTGTTTTGAAGGGTATTTTGTTGGTGAAAACCTCGTAACTACTCTCATTAAGAATTTTTTAGCACAGATTCAAGCTAATGCTATTGCTGCTGCTGTGTGTATAAATTTAAGGCGTATGTGTGTTTGGAAGTTTTATTGTGATTTGTGTGGGTGGGTGTGTGACGAAACAAACATTATCTACTCAGTATAAACTGTATTGTGAATTTTCAATAAATAAATCATAAAGTGTCCTCTCCTGGATTTTTTTTTATCAAATCTGGAGAAAGATATCCAAAGTAAACTGCAGAATTGATTTTTTTAAAACATTTTCTGTAATATTTCACTCGTTTTAAAATGGACATAACTTTTGAACGATTGAAGCTAGCGAGTTGCGGTTTATTTTAAATTAAAAATCAGCTCAAAATATATCAATATACGTTGAGAAATTTTTTGGAATTTGCTTCTATCGTTTGAAGTACAAGGCTTGAGAGTTTTCTAATGGCAAACATAGGATTTCAGTCTTCACTCGCTTTAAAATGGTCATAACTTTTGAACGATTCAAGCTAGCGAGTTGCGGTTTATTTTAAATTGAAAATCAGATCAAAATATATCAATATATGTCAAGAAATTGTTTGGAATTTGCTTCTATCGTTTGAAGTACAAGGCTTGAGAGGTTTCTAATAGCAAACATAGAATTTTAGTCTTCACTCGTTTTAAAATGGACATAACTTTTGAACGATTAGAGCTAGCGAGTTGCGGTTTATTTGCAACTGTATAACTAACGTGGCTAAGGATACACAACCAGCAAGCGCGTAATCGACTTTGGGTCTGCCAGAGCGGATCAAGATCATTTTGGTCTTTTGGTCCTTTGCCAGGACCCTAGAAAAAAAATCACATCTTCTTCCTTTCCACCTTTAGACAAGGCGAAAAATTATTGTTAGTATCGTCAGATCTTTTTGCCCAAGAATTTATTGTATCCAATTCCACGATGAAGAACAATGGCAGAGCGCCAAAGGTATTGCTACACCTCGATTCGTACTTAAACAACTTTGTATTTAGACCTAGAACTATTAGGAAAATTCCCCTGAAAGTTGACACTGGAAAATCTTGTGGTCTCGACGACATTCCAACAATTATTGTCCTCAAAACTTGCGCACAAGAATTGGTTTAATTCTCTACAAATTGTTTTCACTCTCTCACAGTCTAGGCGTTTTCCTGTCTATCTAGCAATGTACCAGAGTGCAGCCCATTCCGAAAATAAAGAGAACAAGAAAACTCTTCGTGGGAATTATCGACTAATCTCATTTATATCTGTACTCTCGACAGTAATGGAAAAGGTCGTCAACCTGGAACTGGTTGAATATTTCGAAGCCAATAAGCTCACCTCTGACAAACAGGTTTCGTTTTAAAAGATCAACAGGGATCTGCTGGCGTACAATCATATTTGCAACTCGAAGAAATTGGCGAATCGAAAATTGTAGCATTGGACAAATCCACGTCTTTGATCATGTGTGACACAAAGATCTCCTCAGCAAACTTTGATCGTATGGTTTTCCGAACGAATATTGCCATTGGCTGGGGAGCTTTTTGGAAGGTAGGTCACTGCAAGCTGTGGTCGATGATGTGTCTTCTGATGAACTGCCTATCAAAGCCGGCATTCTCCAAGGCTCAATTTTGTCTCCAATACTGTTTCCCATTTTTATAAATGATTTGTTAAATGTGACAAGAAATCCCATATACAGCTTTGCGGACGATAACCCAGTTTTAGGGATGTTGGGACAAAACATTTCTATCAATCCTCCAGTATCTCTTCTTGGGGGACCAACTTGTTTGGCATAACCATGTATCTTTGATCACCAAAACTGTTCCTCAAAAATTACGTTTCCTGTTTCGTGCAATAAAACTTCTTTACTTCTGGATAACTTCTTCTCTTTTATAAAGGCTCAAATCAGACCATGTATGAAAAACTGTTCTCACATCTAGAGCGATTCTCCCAAGTTCTGTTAGATGCAGTACAAAGAATAGCAATCAAAATTATCGATAATCTAACTACTCACCTCCAATTCATTGCAATTTTCGGAACATGGGCGCAAAGTGGCCGTTATTCTATCGCTATTACAATGGGAGATGTTCTGACGATCTAGCCAGTCTCATTCCAGCTAGAAGTTATTTAGGAATCACAAGATACTTACAGGCATCCTATCTGTATATGGTAAAGGTTGCTAACCCATATATCTAATCTTTCTGAATTGAGTAATTTATCTATTTAGTTAGTAAGCATACAGAACATGGAACTTTCATCGAAAGACTGTCAAAGGTAACAAAGGTATAAAGTACAGGACATTCTAAAATTCTCTATCTTTTAGAAAATTGATTTTCTAGTATTGACCATATTGTTATTTTTCACTGAATCAATTTGAAATTGCAGTATGATGATCTGCTTCCTCAATTGTTTTACGAAAACTTTTGGCTAAATACCTCAAAATCGATTTTCAAGATTCCAGCTTCTAAAAACATTCTCAAAACAAATTTTAAACTTATTACAAAACGAATCCTTGTATACACGGTCAATTAAGCAATACACGGCAATAAAATTCCATACGCAATTCCACAAAACAACCGATTCGGAAAATAGATAAAGACGAGAAATCAATGCCGCCTAATGGAAATCGGGAATCGAATCAGAGAGGTTGCGAGACCAAAAGCTAACATAATAGGAAAAGATAGCGATCAGTTTGGCTTTCCCATTTCCAAATTAAATCGAGACTGAAGGACTCTAGAAATCGAACCGGCCTCTCCAAAATTGACATTGGCTTTTATTTTATTTTATATTAATTTTAGCAAAACATCTGTAAAATTTCCGATTAGTGATGCACCAATAATTAGTTATCAATTATTGCTAAACATCATCATTCGGATTTAATTAATTGCATATTGTGAAAAGAAACAAACAAGTCGGTGTGTTTTTATTTGCTGCTACATAAACTTTCCAGTTTTGTTTGGATTTTCTTCGTGAACCCTGGCGGATTGTGATTTGACGTTCCAAAACAAATAAAAATGGTAAGAGATCTTATTTTTATTATTCTAACATTCATTGTTTGTAGATAGCTAAAACATTGCTTGAAATAGTTCCAAGATGTTCTCACTGCTCCTATAAAAATGATTCTTACCCGTTAATTACTTTAAACCCATTTAATAACCCCTTAAAACTAGCCATAAAGTATCCGCTAAAGTCCTATACAAGCATAGTAAAATTCCGATAAAGTGGAGCGTCCCCCCATTAAACCAAAATTTATGGGCACCTAGATGAAGATATGGCCAAAAATTATGTCTGGAAAAATGTTTTTATTCTCCCCCGCGAGTTTATTGGTCATATTTTATTTACTCAAGTCGACCTTTAACAGTTTTTCGGTAAACAAACCGATAAACAGTTTTATTTGGCTCATGTTCATTTTTATGCAAATAAGTTCGTCACGTCATTCATTTTATTTTACGTCGTTGTTTATCCTAATTAGAGCGATGCGGCGGTTATTTACGATAACTTTAACGATTGAGGTTTTGCATATTTTCATGTTTAACGTTAATAACTTTACCGCATTGCAGCTTGAGACACTAAATATCTAATTCCCTTCATTAGGTTGAAATAATAATAAAGTTTAATAAACTTCTGAGACCAGTTTGCTCAGTTTCATGTACCATCGTCACCAAAAATATCTGGGACAAACATAATTCATATTGATCTCCTGGACTATTCCAAATTAACCTAGATAAACGTAAAATTATTTATAATTTGACACCAAAAATCATATAATAGTACAAGAGCTAATATGATGCTGTCCCAGTTACTTTTGGTGACGATGGTACCATGTAATAATATACATTAGTAACCGCTGAAAGGCAGCGGGTACATTTAACAATCCAAAAAGCATTCGAAAGAATTCGTATTGTCCTTCCTGAGCCACAAATGCAGTTCATAATATTCTCTCAAAGCCTTATACAAGGTATCATCGAGTCAATCATTAAGCTCAAACAAATATCTTTGTTCTTTCTAGATCCCTCGAATGTGTCTCCTAGTTGTATCACTATCCCTTCTTCTACGTCCATCATCGACAGCAATAACAAGATCAACAATAGTCAATGACATCCACGGTAACCTGCTCAGCAACAACGACGTGAAATTTCCAGCTTCGACGTGTTGCGTTGTGCCGACGTGCAACAGTCCTGACAAGTGCTATCAGATGGTCAGCTGCGGTTACCTGTGCAGCACTGGCAAGTATGCACCGGCCGAATTCAGCTACACACCTGGCTACAAGCTGAAGCCTAGCTATAGGAAGTTTGATTGCTTGTAAGAATTATTTATTTCTAATTATAATTGAAGGTGTAACAATGGTTCCGCAAGTTTGATCTGGGTTGCTATTTGAACGCTGAGATGGTGAAGTTATCTACTTTCTTTTTTGCAGCTGAATTTTATGTGGAGAAAATCCAAGATGTTGAGGTGTATTGGTGGCATTGGCATCGAATATGGTTTTAGAGCAGATCTCATCAACGTTTGAAACTGATTGATTGAAGCTTTTTCCGTGATTCAACTAATACTTGTTTCAGGATCTCATTTTTCAGTTACAGACATTGGTACATAATGTCGATGTGTTTGCTTCGTTTATGAAATACTGGGTTATGTATATGTATATACACTATGATTATCAATGTATACCTTCGTTGGACTGTCAAAGTTAATTCCAATTTCTTGCATCAATCTGCGTAGCCATGGGTACATTCAGGTGGTCCCAGCGGCTAAGCTCCGCCACTCAGCAGGAACATTATTCTCGAAACAGGGGAGCAGCGTTCTCATTGGAACGATAGTTGTGTCTTTGTCGTCCGGCATAACACTGACAATGACAAAGCAATGGTTCTTATGAGAACGCTGTTCCTTAGTTTCAAGAATAAAGTTCCTGCTGAGTGGCTGACCTTAGCCGCTGGGACCGCCTGAATGTACCCCATATAGCTTCTTTTGTTGCTTGACAAGCTGTCGAAATTCAGGCTCGGTTGTTGACAATGATACTCCTTGTTGTCTTTTGCTACACCATGTTATCGGACCATTACTTACTTTGAAGAAATAGCCTTCTTTGTCTGTCACATAACCTTCTAATTCAAAATTCTCTTGCTTTTTATATTGAATACCATAGCTGGGTGTTCGTTTCAAATATTTCAATATTCTTTTAACCGCATTTCATTGTGCATTTTTTGGATTGTTTAGAAATATGCTCACTACTCTCACTGAAAAACCAATATCTGGCCTTGATACAATGACAGCAAATATTAGGATTCCAACTACCTACTTCTCTATATGGACCCATAAATGAATGATCATTTGGATTTCTAGTTAAATCCTGATTCAGCAAGATTTGCTTATTGCATAACAAATTTCTCGATAAGTTTATTTGTATAACTTTCTTGGTGAATAAAAATACGGTCTTCTTCCTGTAATATTTCGAGTCCAACAAAATTGTTGACTTTGTTTACTTTTACTTCAAATTTTGTTTGTAATTCGGCTGAAACGATTTTCAATGCACCCTTACTTGGTAATAGGAGCAGGCCATCATCCACATGAATAACGAGCAATAGGTACTAAATCACCATTTACAGAACCTACCTCTGTATGCATATTTATCTAAATCAAATTGTTTGAATCCAAATTCTGTGAGAACACAGTTGAATTTTTTATTCCAAAATCGAGGAGATTGTTTCAGTCTGTACAGTGATTTCAAAAGTCTACACACTTTGTCATTGGTCGTTGAAAAACCTTCAGGCACTTCCATATATTTCTCCAAAATTTCACCCATCATGTGAGTTCATATGTTTTAGGTAAAAATATGGGAATAAAAGACCTTTTCCTTCACAAATAATTCTTGTGAGAAAAAGGTCTTTTATTCCCATATTTTTACCTAAAACCTCCATATATATTTCCTCATTAAGATCCCCATAGGAAAAAAGAAAATCTTAGTATAATCTATACCTTTTTATTGTGCCGCCTTTGGACACAATCTTGCTTTATATCGAGCAGGTTTATCTTGGTTATCGTCTTTCACACGAAACCTACCCATTTTGATTCAATAGTCTTATTGCCATCGGGTAAATCTTGCAATATCCATGTGAGGATGCAATTATTATGTTTGAATTATTAGTGGACTGTATTGCGATTACTGCGTCCTTATTACACGAAAAAATGAGAAATTAAGTGAGGTCATGCAAAAAGGTTTTGTCGCTTACCCAATTTGGCTTCTGTGGTCTCGTAACTTTAGGGGCGCCCCTGGAAGGCTTTAACTCACGATCAATTGTTCAAACGGCGAAATATGTACGATAAAAACTCAACGGTCGCGAAAATCTTTTGGGAACCGCCGAGAAATGGAGTGGGTACGCACCAAACCGCAACTCTCGTATCAATTGTACCATCGGTACTGTTACCCTTTTCGCTAGGTATTTCTATGAGGCGCGCGCTGCGCTTCTATTCTTCAGCGATATATGGAACGCAAAATGCATGCCTCTATTATACAGGGTCAAATTTGACCCACAAAAAGTTAACGCGAAATCATTGCATCAACAACCAAATGGCTTGTGTCTTCCTGGGGTTTACTTGGAGGCGCCATCTGTCCATTCAAGTTTCAAGACTTTTCAGGTGTCTTTGGTGGGGTGCTCTTGTTGTGGGGCGGGCCCTCGCAGTCAGTACTATCGCTGTGTCGTCGGCGTATGAGTGAAGAGATGTTTCATGTGAAGTGGGTATAAGTCTCCCATAAACAGGTTGAATTTATAGGTAATTTGTTCATTTTTATATTTCTTTATGTTTATTTTATATCATCTTATTTTGACTTTGTATACAAGTAGATGTAGGTATATAATATTATATAATTTTAGATTTAAGGCTTTGTCTATAAATTATGTAATAATTTTTTTTTGACAATAAAGCCTTATTATTGGCGAACCTTGGTCTGGTCCGGCTACTACTGGTCTGGTGGTTAATCTCGTTTCGTTCGTTAAGTGGTTATTTATTGTGCCGCTAAACTTTCTATTGGCCAGGAAGAAGGATATAAGCCGATCTTGGTATTGTGGCATGTCAAAACGAAGCATCTTTAATACGAGTCCTTTAATTAAAAGTTATGGCCACTTCCGGTTTAACCGGAAGTGACTGGTAACGCAATTTACTTCTAAAAAACGCAAAAAGTTGCCTCGTTTAAGCTCCCCAAATTTTAAATTTTCAACTTATATATTAAAAAAGATATACGTTGTTCCCTATTCCTTGTATCACCCTGTATAGAAGTCTCAGAGATCGGTAGGATCACCAGTACAGTGTAGATTTTCTTTCTCAAGTTCTTCTTCAATGAAGTCGGTCGTCCAGTCTTCCAGTGGACCTCAGATGACTATCCTTAGCTTCTCACGGTTTTCGTTGGAGGTGGCTTCTACTTCTTGACGGAGATTGGCAGCTTTGTTTTGTAGATTGGCAGCGTCTTTCTGTAGATTGGCATTGTCGTTTTACAGCCGGACGACATCTTGTTTTAAAGCGTCATTTTCTTGACGAAGGCCTTGGATTTCTTCTTGAAGACTCTTGATTTGCTGTAAGATCTTCTGTTGCCACTCACTGGCATGTGGTGGATCCGTGATGAACTTTCACAACTTTCACTTCTCACATTTGAACAAAACTTCACTAATAATACACTTCGAAATTCGAATTCATTTGGAAAACTAGCAGAGTGTTTCGTACCAAAAAACGGGTAACGAATTTCTTTCCACAACTAGGTATCCTGAAAAGGACTGTTGCTTCAACGGTAGCAAGCACTCGAATGACCCCAACACTGTTTTTCAATTTTATAAATGATTTGTTGAGTGTGACAAAAAATCCCATATACAGCTTTCCGGATGACAGTAGATTGATGGCATTTCTGACAAACCGCTTGCTGCCAGCCGCTTCTATACGCCTCGCCCGAGAACAGATTAATTCTGTCAACAGTGATCTTGACACGATTACCAACTGGGGTCTTGACAACCTGGTCATATTCAATGATTCCAAAACTCGAAGAGTATTTTTAAATAAGAAATATTTTGCCGATGATTAACCCAGTTTTGAGGATATCGGGACAAACCTCTCAATAAATTCCTTAGTATCTCTCTTTGGGTTGACCACATCTACCAACTTGTCTTGGCTTGGCCATGTGTCCTCGATCGCCAAAACCGGTTCTCAAAAATTAGGTATTCTGTATTGCGCGAAAAACTTCTTCACCTATACTTCTAAACAACTTCTTGTCCATTATTAGACCAAATATGGAATACTCTTCCCATATCAGGGTCCTTATTCTTGAAACAGCGGAGCCGTGTTCCTAGGAGAACGAGTGTTCCGTTTTTCGCAATGATAATATAAGTATCCAAAAAGGAACACTCGTTTTCCTGGGCTGGGATCACGACAAGTAGAATTCTACTTTCATGACGTTACCTGCGACCTATTTTGTAGCGTAGGTATAGTCCAACAAATATCATTTTAAAGTCACGTGATTTTTCTCTATCCTTGTTGAATACATCTCAAACAGCGGTGATAGCAAAATTGACAAAAAAATTGGTGTCTAATTATTGTTCATAATATTCTTACCTGAAATAGAATCCGTCACTATCATCAATTAGTTTGTCAAAGAAATTTTGGAAAATGATACAACGAACAAACACTGCTAATAATTTTGCCTATATTAACCTTTTTCCAACTCGAAAAGAAGCAAATAGAAATCCGGTACCCAATTCAAGTTCAGAATGTATTACAATGGACAGCAGATGCGACAAAAGTGAGTCTCACAACAATTGCAAGTATTAAAATTCCCATCTGATTGGTCAATACTACTTCAGAAACGCGTTTGTAAAATGCTATTGGGAACATATCTTAAAATTCAATAGTAATTAACCACTAGTAGCTTTTTGTAGGTGATATCAACGACATAATCAATGGACATACGATTTTTGCCACCAATATCACGTGACTTTAAAATGGTATTTGTCGGACTATAGTATAGGCGATCATGACGGTTGCTAGGCAACCTGACGTCATAGAAGTAGAATTCTAGTAGAATTCTACTTGTGATCCCAGCCCAGGGAACGCTGCTCCCCTGTTTCAAGAATAAAGACCCTGGAGCGATGCACAAGCAATCGTTGGCTCTATTAGATGCAGGACAAATGAGATCAATAAAAATGAATAATATTCCAACTCTCAACGATTCATTGTATTCTCTCGTACATAGACGCAAGGTATAGCCGATTTGTTATTCTATCGCTATTACTATGGGGGATATTCTAAAGATCTGGCCCGCCTCATTCCAGCAAGGAATTTTTTTTTGAGAACCACACGAACCTCCCCGGCAGCCTATCCGTATGTGGTAAAGTTTACTACCCCAAGGACCTCTTAATATAGGACTTCTTTTTGGTGGCGTACTGAACGATTAAACCTTAATGTGTTCAAACGCAGGGTAAATCGTCACCTTACTTCTTCCGCTTAAGTTCTATAGACAATAGTTCTGTTCCAACAGACATGAGAACCGTTCCAGAACTAGTAATTTCCAATTGCCCACCTATTTTTCGATAAGTTGAACGTTTATTCTAATTAACAAATGAATTTATCGACTGGAAATTACCATTCTAGAACGGTTCTCATTTCTGTTGGAAAAGAGATATTGTCTTTTGTGAGCGGACCAATATACAGTATATGTTTCAAAAGTCTGGGAACGGTCAAATATTTTCAGAGCGGCTTGAAATAGAATAACGAAGTTTTCTGCAAAGTAGTTATTATTGATACCCGATTCAATTATTCGTAATAATAATTTCAAGCTGTTGTGGGAATTATTTGATCCTTGCCAGACCTTTGAACAGAAAGGTTATGTTGCCATGTTCCAGAAACCACGTAAAATAGAGATACAATATAGACATTTTCTTTGTCACGACGGTTTGGAGATGTTGACAACTAAGGAATTGTTTTGCAAATGAAGGATAATACAATGCATTCAGTGAAATAATCACCAAAATTTGCAAACTTGCGGAACAACATGAACTATTTGCTTCAAATGTGCTTATGATATCTTGCATTGTTTCAGGTTCGAAGATTGCAAACAATACGAAATAACTTGCAACCACTGCCAGAGCCCTCGAGAACCCGAATTCAGCATCTACCTGGTGAGAGAGGACTGCAAGGAGTGCTACTACCAATAAACCGAAAATGTTAATACAAAATAAATTGTCCGCATAAATAGACTGTTCGCCTCTGGCATATTCGGCGGAATGATAAATTAGTCGTTTCCAGCAATCGCAAAATCTGACATTCTTCGTGATAAAACGGCTATAGTTTATTTTTTTGCGGAGCCTCGAACAACGGGCCCATTGTTTATATCCTGCCTGATTGTTCTGCGCCGAAAAACTTTTTTCATCATCAACCCCCACAGATACGTTTTTTTTTTTTGTGTTTTTCGCAGCCGCATTTTCGGGGGTTCGATTCGGTAACTCTGAAAGCCACGAATTTGTTTTTGTCTAAAGTTGACAATTTATTGTGGATCTCTATGTATAATTGTGGAAACATTTTATTTTATGATTGGACGTATTCAGTCCAAGTTACAATAACATTAATTCCTTTAGCTTCAAGCTCTTCTGTGCCTTTTTTTGTGATTATGTCGCCCTCTTTGTTTACCACAACTAGGGCTGGTAAGAAGCTTATGCCATATTTATAACTAGAAAAGCATTTTTTTTTTTTTTGGGTTCAACTTATATCTATTGAACTTACATTAGTTCAATTGCTAAAGGATCTTTGAAAGGCACTGCCATCCATGGTCCTTGTCTTATATTAAAGTCGTACTTAAAGTCTTTTTCTTCTGTGTCACTTGACACGTACAGGATTTCTATTCCAGAGTCTACAATATTGTAATGTTTGTTTTGGATCAATAAGCAATAAATACTTACTTCTTTTTAGATTTTCCTGATAAAGAGACTTCAATTTCTGCAAAAATCCTGGTCGATTAACGAAAGACGCGTGGAACAAGTAGATCAGGATCCGTTTGTTTTTCAAAACGTATTTGATTGGATGGTGGCTGCCGTCTCTCGATATAACTTTTTTGCCTTGAAGCATATCCATATTTGACAAGTCAACTTCACAATAAATTTTTGACTTTATTCATACGTAATCAATATGAAATATAATAAATAAATTCTATCAAAAGTAATCTTTTGATGGCTATGGCTGTTGCTACTGCTAAAAAAAAAAAAACAATAATTCGGGAGTGTATCCTGCGCTCCCTGGGAGTGGAACTAATCACTAGATACATCACGTCATTTGCCTAATGGCTTCCTGGATGCTAATCTGATGGCCTGGCATCATCGCCCCGGTTTACTGGAAATCTTTTTCTGGCCAAAGGCGGCACTGCCGGGGAAAATGTATATACGGACTCGGTAAAAGGGCGAAATTTCCCTCTGCATAAGTCTTATGATTTATTTAGGAGGGAGCAACACGACCGGATCGATTGGTTTGAAATTTTTAGCGGTTTTGGTGACTGCATCAGCTCGATATCGGATTCGGGGAGGTTGTTTTATAGCAAGCGATGCATTTTTTTAGAAATATCACGGTATTGCCATGTAAAATTGAATACGTAACTTGAATAGGGTGAACAGACATCGACTTTTTATATTTTGGTTAAACGCCTACTCATAGATTTTGATTAGGAAGAAGTGAAAAATATTTGGAATGGGAAAAGCCAAAAAAAAGGCACTTTTAGGTAAGGTTAAATCGTTTAGGAAATGGAGTAGGAGGCAAGGAGTTTTGGAGACAGTATGCCACCAAAAAGAAACCCTATATGTATATGTATATAGAGGTCCTTGGGGTAGCCAATTTTACCACATACAATTTTACTACATACAGAATACTCTTGATTCTTGTAATTCTTAGATAACTTTTCCTAGCTGGAATGAGGCTGGCCAGATTGTCAGAACATCTCGCATTGTAATAACGATAGAATCATGGTCACCTTGCGTCCATGTTCGAGAAATTGCAATGAGTTGGAGGTGAGTAGTTGGATTATAGATCATTTTGATTGCTGTTCTTCTTTGTACTGGATCTGAGCTTAGGAGAATCGCTTCAGATGTGGGAACAGTATCCCATACATGGTCTGCTTTGAGCCTTATAAAGAAGAAGAAGTTATTCAAAAGTAAAGAAGCTTGGTTATGTCAAACAAGTTGGTCCATGCGGTTACCCCAAGAAGAGATATTGGGTGATTGATAGGAATGTTTTGTCCCAATATCCTTAAAACTGGGTTATCTGCAGCGGAAGTTTTCTTATTTGAGAATACTCTTGCTTGAGTTTTGGAAGAATTGAATTTAAGGTTGTTAAAGCCCCAATTGGGGTGTGGAAGTGATTGCAGTAAGCTGTATCAAAAATTTTGAAAGAATTCGAAGAACAGGTCCCCGTCAAAGTCAAAATATGCAGTACGATATTTCTGACTGTTTGCTTATACCCAATTGGAAAACATTTATCGCGGACTCCGGTAATAAACAAAGACTTTTGACAGATTTAGCATCAAAATTTGCTAAATTTCACGTTGACATTGAATGTAATATGGACCTCGTTCTCACAGGCATGTTAACAAATAATGAGACGACAGTTTCATGTAATAAGCAAGAGTTTGAAGTCATAGACGAATTTTGCTTTTCTGAACCCGACGAAGCAGATACAAGAATTTTTGCCTTAATATATTATTTCCGAAACAAATATAGGGTGTTCATTTAAAAAAATAACAAACCTTTTATCTCGGAGTTGGAAAATTTTCCAAAAAATCCCTGAAACACGTCAACTATAATTTGAAGGAGGATGAGTTTTAGAACCAGTTCAGTTTAGAACTTTAGAACCAGTTCAGTCAGACTAGAGTATGCAACTAATTCAGACAATTCACAAGACCCTGGAAGCTATTTTGACATTTCTAAAACATTTAAGAACAAGCTGCAGATTTTTTTACAACCAATCCGAAAGTTTGCATCCATTAGGATCCCTTCAAAGGCGATTCTGAACACTTTAGAATCAATTCAATAATTAGTTCAGAAACATATCAAGCACCTTAGAAGTAGAACCGACTTGATAACCCAATCGATCTGTTCCGAAGAATTTTGAAGTGCCAATGTATCTGCATCAAATAAAAAAAAATAAAAAATAAAAATCACCTCTGAGGCTTTCTGAAATGTTTGCGAAAGCTTTCAATTGAAGTTCTTAAACATTCATCAAGCTTCTGATTTCAAAGGATTCTGGAAGATTCTAGAAAGGGAAGTTCCATATTAGTTGAAAAGTGTTATGGAGCGTTATAAAATGCTTATGATAGTTATAACTTGAATTTGAACTTGGAATGTCTCCAAATTATTCTGAAAACTCTGAACTAAGTGTAAAGTGTTTAGGAATGTTCTTCAAAGCTTTCTAAAATGTGTTTGAAAGTCTTGACATATTTTAGATTGGCTCCGGAGTGTTCTAAATTGCTTCAATCTTGCGTTCCCAGCACTTCCTTGATAAATAAAAAAGTATCTGGCCCCTCCAGGTTTTATAGGTTACCAAAAAAAAAATAAAAAATTAACCATTGACTCTAAGGCAGAAATATAATATCACTCAGTGTGTTTTATCGGATTGTAAAAAACATAGCTCCGTTATCCTGGGTTATTTTGCCATAAAATTATAGTATATTGAAGCTGGAATATTCTTTAATAAATAAAAAAATATCTGGTTCCTCTAGGTTTCTCAGATTACCAGAAAAAAATCAAAAATTAGACCATTGACTCTAAGGCAGAGATATCACTTAGTGTGTTCTATCGGATTGTAAAAATCATAGCTCCGTTATTCTGGGCTATTTTCCCATAAAATTTGAGTATGCTGAAGCTCTCTCAATAAATAAAAAAATATGTGGTTCCTATAGGTTTCCCAGATTTCCAGAAAATAAATCAAAAATTAGACTATTGACTCAGGCAGAAATATCACTCAGCATGTTAAATCGCATTTTAAAAATCATAGCTCCGTTATGTTGGGCTATTTTTCCATAAAATTTTAGTAGTTGGAAGCTTAAAGCTCCCTTAATAAATAAAAAAATATCTGGTTCCTCCAGGTTTCCCAGATTTCCAGAAAAAAAAAGAAAAACAAAAATTAGACCATTGACTCTAAGACAGAGATATCACTCAGTGTGTTTTATCGGATTGTAAAAATCATAGCTACGTTATCCTGGGCTATTTTGCCATAAAATTTTAGTATCTTGGAGCTAAAAGCTGCCTTGATAAATAGAAAAATATTTGCTTCCTATAGGTTTCCCAGGTTTCCAGAAAAAAAAATCGAAAACTAGACCATTGACTCTAAGGCAGAAATATCACTCAGTGTGTTTATCGGATTGTGAAAATCATATTTCGGTTATGTTGGGCTATTTTTCCATAAAAATTTTTATTTGTTGAAGGTGAAAGCTTCTTCAATAAATGAAAAAATATCTGGTTTCTCCAGGTTTCCCAGATTTCCAAAAAAAAAACAAAAATTAGGCCATTGACTCTAAGGCAGAAATATCATTCAGTGTGTTTTATCGGATTGTAAAAATCATAGCACCGTTATCCTAAGCTATTTTTCTATAAAATTTCAATATGTTGAAGCTGAAAGCTTCCTTAATAAATAAAAAAATATCTCGTTCTTCCAGGTCTCCAAGATTACCAGACAAAAAATCAAAAATTAGACCATTGACTCTAAGGCAGAAATATCACTAAATGTGTTTTATCGGATTGTAAAAATCATAGCTCCGTTATGTTGGGCTATTTTTCCATAAAATTTCAGTATGTTGAAGCTGGAAGCTTCTTTAATAAACAAAAAAATATTTGGTGCCTCCAGGTTTTCCAGATTTCTATAATAAAAAATCAAAAATTAGACCTAAGGCAGAAATATCACTCAGTGTGATTTATCAGATTTTAAAAAATATAGCTCCATTATCCTGAGCGTTTTTTCCATAAAATTTTAGTATGTTGAAGCTGGAAGCCTCAAATAAATAAAAAAAAATTTTGGTTCCTCCAGGTTTCCCAGATTTTCAGAAAAAAAATCAAAAATTTGCCCATTGACTCCAAGGCAGAAATATCAATCAGTGTGTTTATCGGATTGTAAAAATAATAGCTTCGTAAAAAGTTTCAACATCAATTTGCTGGAGTGAACTTTAATTCAAAGAAGAAACATGAACATAAAGTATTTATAACAACATGTTGGTTCACACGACATGCTCCGTCAATTACAATGAAACTGTAGATAAATCTTCGCATCGCTGACACAATTTAAATGGTCATGATACACATTTTACATGGAAAGGTGACTTGATCAACATGTGAGGTGGCAATGCGATAACGATTCGCTATATAATTTTACTGTACAATTTTTAATGGACAAAAATAGTTTTTACTGCTACACTAATCCGCAAGAATAAGAACTTCCGATTCTCGTTAACCTGCACAAAAATCCTAATTTATTCGCAAGTTGCGCATTTAAAATCCCATTTTCAACAAAAATCGAAAAAAACTAAAATCCAATACTTGTTTTCACCTCCTTAAATCCCTCCTTAATACCATGCCGCTTACCTTGCTGATTGTAATTAAGATACGGAGCCGTTTCGAAAACGCCGAAGACTTAATTATTTTCTTGCCGAGGCCGCTCTACAGGTTTTTCCATTTGTTTTTAGTCACGACACGAACTGCTATATCTCGTAATTTCTTGTTTTTCTTCACGCACCACCGCCAAGCTTGACACCGAATTTATACGAAAATTCGGGAAATAGAAAATCAGTCGGGGGAGAGAGACACAAATAACTCCATTTCCATCAGTTACCATCAAAGACGTCCGTTCCAATTTGGAAAAGGGAAAAAGTACTGGACACGATTAATCACCTGCGACTGAGCCAGTGACTGATTAATAGATCTCTATTCTTTTTTTTTTTTGGTATATCGTGGTAAAATCAGAGACGTGAGGGTGTGACAATACTTTATTAGACACAGACACGAGGGGAGTAATCAATTAACACAGTTTTGGATTTTTCGGCTTCCATTGACTTCCATAGAACGAGATATTAAGGATTTCAGTAGCAAAAATCAATTGGT